CCGATACTCGAATATCTCATTTGCTCAAGTGATTTATATTAGCCTGTTCACTGTCGATTACTCAATCTGGTTTCTTACCAGATTATTTATAAATATATCCAGCCCTTACAAACTATTTAATAATAAATATAAATCATCTCTAGGTACTTCATTTTTTACATTTTATCGATTATTAAATTATCATTTGTTACATTATTTTGTTAATATAAATAAAGCTACGAGTAAGTCGTGGAAATTATAAAAATATCGATTACTGTTGAGGGTTACATATAGGTAAAACGTCAAACATGTGCTGCTCGAAAAGTTAAACGATCAGAGCTAAATAATAAATATTAAGCTCGACAAATATTAAATATGTGCTCTTCAAAGGGTTAAGCGGTGCGTTTCAATAAATACCAAGTAGATAAACATCTCGACAATCAAGGGAACTAGACCGTTCGCCGAGAATATCTATAATATGAATATCAAACGCCTGGGAGTAGTAGACGGAGCCGCTACTTAATCCTCCTCGCTTTGTTCGAAATTCGAGAGCACTTTAGATCTGTTTCGTAAAGTTGAAAGGGTTCTATCGCGATCATTCCGAAGCTCTCCCACTCTCATTTAGCTCGCAAGCTTCATTGTTGTTCCTTCCGTTCGTCTTCAAGACAGTTGATTCACCTCTTGTCCCTGGCCTCTTAATAAAATGGAGCGCATTGTACCCGCTTAATGAACTCGAGAATTTCGCGTTTTTCCTCATTCCGCACTTGAGTTGTAACATCGTTCTAATTTCTTCCAACCTCACGTTTTATTCTCAATTTCGATAATCGTCTGAAGAGACTTTTCACCTGCCGATTCGAGGATAAGCGTCGTGGTAAAAAAAAAACTCATTGCGGAAGTCGTTCGAATTGGCTTAGTGGATTAAATGGATTGGATTAAGTGGTTAATAACATTTATTTAGAAGGGACACGAAGTAACATGGTAAACGGGTGTGATACCGACACATTGCGAGCTTCTGCTCGACACAACGTCATGTCGCGTCAAGAATAGATCTAGCATTCATTTGCGGAATTCTCAAGTCTTCTCGTCATATTTTAATACATTTCTCGGACCGTCTGAGCAGCGTGTAACGAAACAAAATGAAAACGTCTCCTTAGAAATAATCTTTAACATCAATTTTATCCGACTCGTTTCATCGTAATATTTCCTACAGTAACATCGGGTAGTTATGAGTTGTTTTCTAAAAAAGAAAAAGACATAAAACCTGGGAGTAAGGACAATGATCATATAGTATAGCGATTCAAGTACACATCGTTACGAGAGATAACAAATCATAATAATGTTCTTACACTACCAAGTCGCTAACTTGACCATATATATAAATTCCATGGAAGTTTTGCTACTGCATTTGTATAGTCTTCAGCTTTGATACGTTTTCATTATATTATAAGTTCTCTTGATAGGAGTTATTTTAATGACATTTTCTACCCATATCTTTTTAAGATTTATTATAAAATTATAAACTGCTTTTATATATCACTGTTAAATATTAAAAGATGAAATTTAAACCTACACCTTGAGTTAAATAACATTTTCTAACTACTGCGTGTGTCGAAATGTATTCTTTTAACACAAACGGTGTTATTTTAACTTCATTGGTTTAGTAAAATTAACATTGTTTTAGTTTAATTAACGACATGTTGAGTAGGAGCAGTAGCGACTAATTTGACACTACTAGTTTAACAGTGATGAAAGACTTTTTATCGTAAAATTTGTATCGTATCATTATATTAAGATTAATCGAGTAAACCGCGTTATAAGTGTCTAAACACGACAAGAGAGAGTGACAAGAAGTTATATTTAAAATTAATCGAATTACACGTGCTTCATTGTGAATAAACTCATAGTACAATTGTTAATAATGTCAAACGCTAGAAAAACAAAGCTAGAAAAAGATTTTAAGACGCACTAGAAAACTGCTGTAGGAGAATTTAAATAAAATACCTATGCAACGTTTACTTGAACATGACTATGCATGACGGAAACAGTTTGTTTTGCGTTTCGAGTACTTAACAGCGTTCAGTTACAGTCGAAACCTTGAGAAAATATACAGAGTAATTTTTTTAACGCTTAGTAATTTGTCAATGAAAATCACCATTATTACGCAATATAATATTAATAGACGATAATTATAGCGAACTGCGTGAAATTCTTGCTTCAAAATAATACGGAATGAAATGTTACCTCTCTCTCGAAAATTTTTGTCTACCTGAAAGAAAATTAATACGCAAATATTCAGTTTCCATTTTGGAAGATCGGTGTTCAATTTCACTGAGGATAAATTATTCTGTCTCGATTTTTTTCTTAATTTACTTATTTCAGTGCAGAAAATATTGACAGTCGCGAGATTTCCATCGTTTATGAAAGATCGTGTCGACCTTTTCGCCTTCTGACTCGATCCTTTCTTTCTTCTGGTTTCTCTCGCTTTCTCTTTTTTTTTTAATTTTTTTCCGTTCTGTCGATAGACGCGTGTGCGAGTAGGCTATTCAATGTCAATCCCATAAATAAGTGCACGAGCTTACATGGGGCACGTGATACTTGTTCGCTGATATAAATCGACTTACAGCTGTAGGTGCAATACATTCAGCAAGGCCGGCAGGAAGCGAAATTAGGGCAAACGAAGGATACTCCCCGGCGTGTCGTTTTCGATCTAGCGGTAAAGGACAGGGAGGTCTTGTTCGGAAATTGATCCTACATTAATATCATCTTATGCCATTTTCGCTGCGAGTATGCGTCGTTACGTGCGAAATTGTTTTAAAGTAATGTATCTGTAAAGAAACTCGATATGGTTTATATATAAATTTTTTAGCAGAGATTTTTTTTTAATCCGAGAATATTATTATTACCATTGATAATATTGCGTATTGCGTTTATATGTCAACGATATGATTTTTATTAATTTTATGATTTTCCAAAAAGATGATTTTTATTACTAAATTAAATTTATTTAAATATTTTACTGTATCTAGCACGCAATTACGTGTACGCTACGCATATTTGTTTAATTTTTTTTAGAACTATTTTTTACTTGTTTTTCAAATTTACTAATTTTCTTGATAAATTATTTCATTTGTTTTAAAAACTATTGGAGGAAATTTTAATTATATTACCACGTTCCATGTAGTATCAAAATCTTCTTTTCTCGAAAAGAATAATTATCTTGTTAAATCATTCTTTTAGATTGTTTATTTAGAAAATGAACAATATATATATATCTGTTCATCGTACCTTTTAACACATTTACTATATAATAGCAGTAAAATAAGTTTGTTGAATAAATTATCAAAAATTTCGTATCTCTTAGCAATGGCTTTAGTTGTTTGAATGAAAGAAATTTGGACTTTGTCTGCTGTGTCAGCTCAAAAGTTGTCACACTTGTGGTAGTGTATTCCTAGACTTTGGTCCATTGTAGAGCTAAAGCCGTTTTTACTCCTCTCAAAAGTTGTCCACACGTGACAGGCAATTTTCTAAGTTATTTTAAGAATATACCGAAATCTAATTTATTAATCGTCGAAGCGTACTCCAGTCAGCGCTCTAGCCAGGAAACTCTTCCTGCGTTTCAGATAACGCTTCTTTTTTGCGATATCTCGCAACCGTTAAAATATTGAGTTGTGCAAATAAGAGTGAGGTGTACGTGGAGGCAGAAGCGCTCGTTCAGACGTAAAAGTACGTACGAAGCGAAAATACAATTCGCATTTTATGCACACAATTCGCGAACCTCTCTCCGAGATCCTTCCGCGCGTATTCCATTATATTTTCCTCAGTAAATAACGACAAGAGAGAATCTCTGTCGTGGCGTGCTCAAATTCAGATTTCGCGATTTGCGCACAATGAAATTCAGCCGTCACGATTAATCTTCGATGCGTCCGCCCCGAAATAGACGCGTAATACATATGTAAAATATATATACTTTTGCTACCGGTCCGCGCGACTCTGCACTTTGCCCAGAAAAATGAATTTCTCCGCGCGCGCGAGCCAAGTTTCTAAAGAGGCAAACATATCGGGAAAGATGAACGAACGATGACCCGTTTAGCAATCAACTCGAATTACGATCAAATATTTTCCCACTGAAGAAGTAGCGTTTATTAATTTTACATATCATTTTTCAGCGCAGAGCGTGCAAGATGCTAATAAAAAAATCTTCTTAACGGAAGAAAGATTTCGAGAAAGACTCCTATAAAAATATCTCCAATCGAATATTATTCTTTTTTGTTACGATCGAAGAACCCCTTTAACATGTAAGAAAGCAAAAATCTGTTTTTAATCAAAAGAGACGTGATTTAATCCATATTTTTGTAATCACGGACGAGAGTATTAACTTCGTTGAGAGAAGCTCGAGATGGGCGCGCGTTCGTTCCGTAACGAAGCCGATTACAGAAATTACGGCGCGAATTGTGGGAGAACTTATATATTCGCGGATGTCGATCACTTGAGAGAAATGTAGAAAAATTTTTAGAGATTTGCGGAACTGGGAATCAACAGGTGTATGCACGATACGAAAATTTAATAAAAGATGTACTTAACACGATAACATACCTCATCTGTCGTGAAATACAATAGAAGAAGTGTAGCACTAAAAATAAAGTATCTGTAGATCTGAAGAACAGAAATTTTCACGCGGGCTTTAAAAATGTACGAGACTACGAAGATAAAAGTTCCGGAAGTGGAAGGCAAGTCTTTGATCAAAAATTCATTTTGTCGAATATGATGATAAAAACTAACAATCAACATATAATGAAATTATCATGGCACATACCGTCATCCGTTATAAATGTTTTATTTATCATAAGCGACCGCATTATGTCATTATATATAGTTTCAGGGTACACGAAAGTCTGCTAATGATGCGCAATAAACGAGATATCGAGAGTCAACTCGCGTATTAATTAAAGCCGAGCGTGTCCGGTGGCCGAAACGTGGACGAGAGAAGAATTTAATTGAGAAGAACAGAGGTATGTAAGTACCTTCACTTCCGATGATCCAAGTTGCTCCGTCGCCGTCGGCACACTGTCACTCGCCGGCCAACTTCTCGCCGTTCGCCGGCGACTTTAAACGCGATTCGCGAATTCACGACGACCTTCAGGCCTCACCACTGTCGCGGAGAACATACAAGGGAGAATGTGATGCACTCCGGCACGGGGATCACTTCCGCGTGTCGCGCGAGAAAATCGGACCCAGCTGTGAGCGGGATGACACGACTCATCTAGGCGCCGATTGTAAACTGGAAACAGAGCGCGCCGCGCGAACGAACGAACTGCCCGCCAAGCAGAGCGCCGGCGGACGCGGCCGAGCCCGCCCGAGGAAAAGCCGCGAAAAGCCGCCGGCGCGTATCGTTCGCGCCAAAAGCGCGGGAAACTTTTCTTGTTCGAGTTGTTCGTCACGATTAGTTTTTTGCTCGAAACTTTTGCGATGCGTCGCCTGGTCGGAGGTATCGTTGTTTTTCGAATCGTGTTCGCTTGAATTTAAAAGGATGATGACGCGTCTGTTTAGCGTGGGAAAGATTTGCATTTAAAGCTGCGGATCGCCGAAAAGTTTTATTGTATTTTTGTCATTTTTGACGCGGACGATATGGCTCGTGCGCGCGTACATTTTTAATCCGTCGTAATTAACCGTTAAAAAAATAACTTTAAATATAAATGCGACTCGATTTTGTAGAAACAAAAATTTTGGACGTTTTTACGTGTGAAATATTTTTGTACGTTTGTCACTTTTATTAACAATTTCAGCACCGAAAAATACAAGCTAAATAGATTAAACTGCAGTTTATATTTATACAAAGTGCAATTACCGTTCCGTTTCTCGTTTCTACACCTATACTTGATAGCTGCGATTGAAATAAACATATCGTCTTTATCACTATGTAAATCCAAGTGTGTTATTTCTACACACATAAACGTCTAAATAATGATTTGCCTGAAGCTCGTTTTACATATTTTGTTGCGTGTTAAATTAACACGTATCGTATTAAATTAAAAGTTAATACGTTCAACCGTGTTAAATGTGTGTAAGAAGAGTTTCAGTTAACACACTGATTTGCAGTGATTGTTCCAAAATATGATTAATGTGAGCTAATTAACGATTATATTCCAAATAATTTATAGTAGCTGTTACAATGGAGTGACGGCCGAACTCTGATGGGAAAACGCCCTCTCATCTAAGCGGAAATAAAAAAATCGATTATTTTTATCATTCTACCCTTATCCAACGAGATATCTGCATCCTTACCAGATTGCAACGCCGCATGTACACTGCGTGTGTGTACTTACATGCATAAAATCTGCGATTAATAAAAATCTTTCTTATTAGGCTTTTAATCTTAGTTTTAATGATCCAACGTTGTTCTTTGATCTAGTCCGATTAGTGAGGTACTTTCGATTTGTACACGTAAGTTATATAATTCGTATATTAAACGAAAGTTTCCATGAAGTGACAGCTCAAGGTACAAAAGGTTAGGTACACCGAGTATAGTATCAAATATAATTTTTCCAATTCTTTTAAGTTTTTAGTCTTCAATTTATCACTCCACCCATCATTTCTGTATGTACGTGTTAATAAAGGGATTTCAAATCTGTAAAGCTAATTCGAAGAAAATCATACACCTATAATTAAATATCGGCCATTATTGCCGTCACTCCAGGATTCCTGCTTTAATTACGATATATTGATCAATACCTGACAATCGCTTAACGTAATTGCGCTTCGAGGAAAGAAATTTGGAACCTGAAGTCTCGTTGGTGTTCCCCTGGGTAGCGCACGGAAACAGATCCTGAGATCTCGAGCGGAACTTTTAACGCACAGCGAGCAAAGGTTCGCAAAGGGTGAACACAGAGTAAATCTTAGCATAATAATCGCGTTTGGACGGTAACAATCGTAAGACAAACGAAACGTAATTCAAAGTCGATTCGTCGCGGCACGTTTCGCGATTGATATATGATTCAAAAAACAATGCTACTAATAATTATTAGCAAAATATTAAAATGACCGAAGCAAGCCAACTGCGGTTGGTAATTTAATTAATTTGAAAAAAAAGTTTAAAATATTTAGGAGTAACACTATATACTGACCTCTGTCAGGTTGCTTAGCTGCGAGTCCGTATTTTATTTATTATAAATTTTTTAAGAGCCAAAATGGAAAATCCGGCTATGTACCGGCTTGCGGCTGATATTACTGATTAAAACGAGCATAAGTTTAATGAGATTCGTTAATTAATTTGGCTAAAATTTGGGAAAAACCGTTCCTAAGCAGCTTTGCAGCTCTGAGCCAGCCTGAAAAGCTGTAAAATAGGAAACATATCCTTATTTAAAATTCAATATTGATGAAAAGAAATCGTTAACTTGTTAATTAATTTTTATTAAAATAGAGTAGTTTTCCAAACAATAAATATATTTCGACACTTTATCCAAATGATTCTGAAGCGATTGGATAAAAAAAAATTTTTTAGACTTATATGTCTGCCAATTATACACGCTTATTATAATTGATTTTTATTGATTTTCTATTATTATATGGTTTTCCAAACTCTAAAAAGTTTTTTCCAAATTTCTCCAAATAATTTTCAAACGATTGGAAAAGATAATTAATAAGCCAACTTAATATACGTTGATGGTGACTGCACCCTTATAATTTAGAGCTCTAAAAAAATGGGCGCAGTAACGCCATCTCTCGGAGACAACAGGAAGAATCTCGGACTAGGCTGATCGCGAGATGATGGCGCACGGCGTCACCCAGCCGGCAGCGCCGTTACATATTACATAGCGCGACGTCCGCAGGCCACGAGAGGGACGGCGCGTCGCGATCGCGAGCCCGTCGGCAGTGAAAAATGGCCGGAGCCAGCGACTGGTTTAGCATCGGCAGCACGGTGCTCTGTAAAACCTGCCATGAAAAGGAGATAGAGGGTGAGGTGTTGGCGTTCGATCCACAGACCAAAATGCTGATACTAAGTATCCTTTTCTCGCAAGAATGGCGCCGATCGTCGGTGGCGGCAACGACGATGACGGCGGCGGCAGCGGCGAGGGGCCCGCATGTGCTTCCGCCGCGCGAGGACGCAGTGTAAATAGCGGGCGTCGTGTCTCGTGCCGCGTGTTACCGCCAAGCTCCTCGGCGACCCGGCACCGCGAGTTCGACGTCGCGTTCGCCGTCCATGTCTCGCGACTCGTCCGGAACAAACGTGGCAACTCGGTCGCGCGGTTCAGATTCAGGTTAGTTTCGTCTCTTTCACCGTCAACCATGCTGGTTTATCTACCTGCGTCTGCCTGTTCGCCCGCTTGCTCGCTCGCCGCTCACTGTGCATGCACGTTTTGTTATCGGACACGGTTTGCACGTCATCGTTGACGTGGTGCTCGCGACTCGCGGCGTTCCAGGAGTTTCGACCGATCTCGAGAGCATATGATCGCACGCTCGTCGTCGACAGTTAATGTCCTGGTTATCATGTCTTTTTTTATGGTTTTTGATCGGCGATCAGATATATCAGTAATATAATATCAGTCACTGTTGATTTTAACGACATTGAACGTCTTAATTGTATGTTGGAGCATTGGTAAACAGAAAATTCACAAACCTGTGACGAATAGTCTATGATACAAATTGTACTAGTTGTGATCATATTTATGGGAATAAATATTCTAGAATGCTCCAATACTCCAGAATTCAAAAATTTCTGAGCTATTGGGTCTGTTTCCTATTGCTGTACTGGCTGCGCTTGTTCAGTCTTATCTTTTCTACTCCACATTGGAAGGGAAAAGATAAACTCTGAACTAGTGCGATCGGTTCAGCAATAGATCCATTGTTTGATCACAAACCAGGTACTCAAATTTATAGAAATTTACTGAGATCTGATCATGAACGTTGACATTTATTTGTTACACATATCCGAAAGGATAGTTTTCCTTAACAGTAACTTCTTAGAATCACCATCGTCGAGTGGGAGACCCTCGTTAAATGATATACATATAGTAAATTTATCCCTCGTGTCCAACGTTCAAGTGACACGGGAAGTTAGTCCTACTACCAGTGAACCACCACAGAGCCTTAATTTACAAAGGCTAAACACGAGAGTTCGTAATCAGATCGATGAGAAGAGGAGACTGGTAATGGCTCTGCAGGCCGGAGTATCTCCAGAGGGACAGAAGCTCTTCATCGCTATCTCGAAAACTATTCAAGATATTACGTGGAATGGAGCTAATATTGTTGTATTTAATAATGTCACTATTAGACCACCATACAAAGTGGACAATGTTCATGGAAACACAGAATCTGGTGCATATAGACATGTAAAAAAAGTGGTACGTATCAATGCAGGAAATGTTTAAGTTAGCAATCTTATACTATATATATATATAGTATAGTATAGTATAGTATAAACGTACAACATACGGGTTTCTTAATTTCTTGGTTACTTTTTAAACTCATTTTTTTCAATAAACACTTTAGCAATAGAACTCAAATTTAAAGCATTTGTCTAATGACCGTCCGATACAGTTAAACTCTTTAATTGAAACTTTCTGAAGAAATTTAAATATTTTAAATTAAATTAACATTTTATTTCTTTCAATTTTCTTACTAAATATAGTATAAAAATATATATAACAAAATGTAAATATAAAATAAAGTAACAAACAAATTTTGAATGAAAGACAAATGATTATTTCAGATTTATCTCTTTATTGCATTTGTATTATCTATCTCGCATTCACGCATTCTGTTTATCTCACAGGTTGAGAAACACATTAAAGATACATTACAAGCACAGCAACAACGGGATCAACAGCAACAACAAACGCAGAAGGGCGGTGAACTGCAATAAGAGTCCAACAAGGCACTACGTCATCAAAGTCGCTAGCATATTTTTGAACAAGTTTCAGTGACAAGAAATAAGAAGAAAAGAATTAACAGGATACCGAATAAGATAGCCCGACTGCAAAGAAATAATTTAGATAAGCCTATCGCGGATCATCGGCATATCTTCGAACAAGTTCCAGTCGTTTGTTCAAATGAAAAAAAGACAAACAAGAGCGCAGATTCGACACGGAAATTTTACATCGACTTTAATCAGAGTATTGTTAACAGTATCGCATGTGCAGCATTTTATAAATACAATCAGACGTACAATTCGCAAAATTATTAGTCACCAGCCAAAAAAAACGAAAAAGCGAATAGGCCGACTAACTGAAGTTTAGTATCTATCAACCGGTATTACCATTATCGGCACTACATTCGTACGCGATGTATACTAACGGCGCCGAAGTGTGTGCTATAGTTTAATTCAAGGTCGGTTTGTCGGTCATCGACGAGCGTATCTTAGCGTGATTTGATTCTCCATTTCTAAACAAGAGCCTTCGCGTCCACGAGACACGATGTACACGATTCAAGTCCGTATGAAGCGGTCCGAGCTTTCAAAATCCGAAAGAAGGCGAGCGCGTCGCGTGAAAGTAGGATAAAACGCACGGTTGCCGATACCTGAAGCACATCGTAAACAGTCCCGATCTGTGATCCTTCTCGGCAATAAATCGATTTCCTATCGTGGCAATACGTTGTATATTGCGATAAGGAAGGGGACCATCCGGCGACTCTACGTTTCATTCAACAAAAGAGATGTAAACCGCGATTATATTGTCGACGTGAATTGATGCACGAAGGTCTCTCCACGCGTCGCCTTCGAGATGAAATCTCACGCCTTTCACCCGCGAGATGCGTTCTTTATCGCATTTACTGTGAAGAGCAGGAAGACTCTCAATGTAGAAAGCGGACTATCCGCCAACAAACGCATCAGTAATTCATGCCTCTTATCCTAGTTTCGCCGAAACAAAGCGCGCACGATCAATTCGACGATTCCCATTCCCGTTTCGAAGCTGGCTCACGCGAGCGATTCCACGTTATTCCCCGGCGACACTGCAAACCTATCGTATTGGCCGACAGAAAAAGAAACCGCGAACATCCGCGACTCATCATACGGGACGCCTTCGAGAACGACGTCTTGGGGTGTCTGTCGCGTAGAGCCGAGTGTTGCCCGAGAATGTAATTTAGAAAGGGGCAAAGCTCTCGGTTCTCGCGAAGAACAGGATCCTTGGGAGACGAGATCGAGCTCATCCCGTGTCAATTTAATTGCCATTCGAATGGAAAGAATGAGAGTGAGAAAGCAGGCGTAGGAGATTGTAAGAAGAAGAGTTACACGAAAAAAAAGACATAAATAAATGTAATATAAATTCTGTAGTCGTGGGCTCTCTTTCTCTCTCTCTCTTTGTACCTCTTACGGTCGCCTCTTCCTTAGCGAGCGAGCGATCAACCGATCGTGTTGTCTCGCGACTATCTTTTGACAACTATCGCGAACAACTCTTTTGACGAAGTAGTGATCTAGGCTACGGTCAACGTGACGCTACAAATGCTTTGAAGCATTCCTCTTCTCTTTTCTTTCAATGAAGAAAGAAAGAGAAGAAGAACGCTCCAAAGCATTTGTAGCGTCACGTTGACCGTAGCCCTAGTAGTGTATAGATATCTGCGTAATAACGAAGATTTTTGCCGTTTTTAAACGCTAAATAGACGGAAAAGACGACTACGAAATGCGACTACGGAGTATAGCTAGCTTCAGGATGCACCGCGCGGTGATACGCTCGGAATTTACTCCGCGTTTTCATCAGTTTCCTCGATTGTTTCCGAGACGTCGCCCGTTGATTTCACGCTCGCGGACAGGTCGTGCGTCACGCGGGCGATCCGGGCGGCGGCCTTAAACTTTATCGCGGCCCGATGTTTCTCGGTCTTCTTCTTCCACTGAAACAGAAAACCGATATGCGTCATAAACCGATTGGGAAGAAGGCCAAAACAAAATGAGACCATATCCCTTGATCCTCACACAGTTTTAGCCGCTTCTTCTTTGATTTGATGATCGCGGTTTTAGCCGCGCATGTGCAGTTCCATTGTGCCATGGGCTCAATGGGCTGCGGTTCGATTCACGCTCACAGCGCAAGTCGCGCTTGAGTCGTGGACGTGTTCGGACGTGTTTTGTACTGAATAAATTTTTTAAGATTGCTGATGCAATCACAATTTCTACTCAGACTTGCATAGTAATTTCCACTCAGACTTCGCTACGCAATCAGTAATTCAAGCTTTGTTAAACAAACAGCGGCAAATCTGGCCGTATTGTCCGCTGAAAAGCGGCAGGAGCCAATAAAAAATAAGAAGAAGAAGAAGACGCTCACAGCGCTGAAAGCATCGAACCACGGTTAGCTTAACCGACGGTTAAAGTTAGCAGGATTGATCAATAGAAATGAATCCACCCTGCTTTCTATTGGTCAATCTTGCTAACTTTAACCGTCGGTTAAGCTAACCGTGGTTGGTGAAATTGGTCTTCAAAGGCCCGATTCTCTAACGAGAAACGTATGCGCAAACTCTGCTCTAACAGAAAGGCTGCAAATTGATTGGCTATCGCACAGTTTTTAGCCAATAAGCTTGCAGCTTTTCTGTTAGAGCAGAGTTTGCCATTAGAGAATCGGGCGTAGTGCGATTCTGTAAGGGCCGGTTTACAATGGGTGTTGTAAGTCGTGAGTTGTAAGAATTGGCCAAACACAGTTCATTATTCTTCGACCGCAAGGAGAATAATGAACTGTAATTGGTCAATTCTTACAACTCACGACTTACAACACCCATTGTAGATCGGCCCTAATGCGGGGTCTACAATGGGAGTCGCCAAGTCGTGAGTCGCAAGAAATTGACCAATCACAGTCGAATTTGAGAAAAATAATCGACTGTGATTGGTCAATTTTCTACGACCTACGACCCACGACTCGCATTGTAGACCCCGCATAAAACCCGTGTCACACTACGTATCGCGGACGCAGATCGGATTGGGATTACGGATCGCGGATCGGATGTCAGCCAATCACGGATGAGCTGCTCGTCTATGATTGGCTAGATTACGATCCGCGATCCGCAATCTTAATTCGATCCGCGTCCGCGATATGCTCGTATCATGGCGTTTTCGATTTACTACTCGACCCGACTCGAGTCGCATCAATGGTCACGTGGAATACATACATAGGCCGGTATTCATAGTCGGTTCTTATATTTAAGACCATCTTAAGTACAATCTTAAGATGTCATTAACCAATCACAGAGCCGTATTAGCATCTTAAGATATTACTTAAGACGGTCTTGAAATAAGATCCGACTATGAATACCGGCCATAGATATGTATGTATTCCACGTCAATGATTCTAGAGTCCTGTATACATACATACATGATGCGACCCGAGTCGGTTGAGTCGCAAATCGAAAACGCTATCAGACTACGGATTGGGATTGAGATTGGATTGAAATTTGACCAATCAGAGCAAAGTTTACTAAACTTGAGATCAATTTTCTCTATTCTGATTAATTAAACTTTAATCCAATCTTAATCCCAATCCGTAGTCTACGTGCAATACTGACACGGGCTTAAGGGGATGCTGGAGCCGTCTGTTTTACCGGCATTTTTTGTCGGCACGTAGCGTCGTATTAATTTGACAGAATTAAAAATTTTTCTCCAGAATTGCAGTACATACATTAATGATTCGGGGAAACTCCGATTTTATATAGAAAACGAGAAAAAATTACGGAAGTACAGATTTCCTTATCCTACTCTTATCCCAATATGGCGTCTCGAGTTGCGGCGAGCTGTCAGCTCGTCACAAGATGTATTTCATATAAGAGATATACCATTGGTACGAACGCGAAAACAAGTTTCCCCGAATTGCACAACAAGAAAAACATCGATAAACCCCCCAAATCAAGATTTGGAAGCGTAATATAAAAGTATAATGTCGGTGTGCATCGTGCGTATGTGTGCGTGCAATGTAGCGTGCTATCCTTGTCTATATCTTTGTCTATACAAGGACAGATATAGTTCGCCGGTCTTCTTTACCGACGCCGATCGAGTTCGGCTACGGCTCCAGCATCCCCTTAAGGGGATCCTAAAGCCGTCTGTAATACCGGCTTTTTTTCTTAGCACTAATCTTTTAATTGACTTTATTGAAATGCAAAATTCTTGTCTAGAATTAAAGTACGCATCAAAATCTAGGTCATGGTGGTCAAATTTATATCGAAAACGAAAAAAAATTAATATTTTTGTTAATTTTTGGTATACGTGACGACAATATTTGCTTTGTACAAAAATTCCACGATAAATATCCACAAAATTAGACCGGCATGACCTAGGGACAACATTTAAGAACAATATCGTGCAATTAGATCTAAGATTGAAAACCTAGAAAAAAAGATTACTTTATATAACTTTTATATGTGCAAAAGCACATTCAGGTTGACAGGATAAGCAATATTGCGTGTGGCAAGAGATGGCGCAGTAATCGAACAAAGACAGATGCCTCTCGTTAGACAAGGACAGATATAGATATATGACAAGAAAACAGAATTAGAAATGTTGACATTACCGACGTCGAGGAAGTTCAGCCTTCACTTTAGGATCCCCTTAAGGTGATCCTAAAGCTGTCTGTAATACCTACACTCGTTTTTAACAATATTTGCTTCGTATAAAAATTCTACAACTTGATGATGTTACAAAATGAGGGTGCAGGTCCATTCACTAGACATCAAGGAATATCATACCGTTTGTAGAATTAGGCTGAAACTCCAAACAAAAAAGTTAAACGAAAAGTACGATAATGTACGTACATTATGTTCACGTAATCGTACTTTTCGTTTAACTTTTTTGTTTGGAGTCTCAGCCTAATTCTACAAACAGTATGATATTCCTTGATGTCTATTGAATGAACCTGCACCCTCATTTTGTAACATCAAGTTGTAGAATTTTTATACGAAGCAAATATTGTTAAAAACGAATGTAGGTATTACAGACAGCTTTAGGATCACCTTAAGTGCCCGTCTACAATATGTGTTTTAAACCCTGAGCCTTAAGAAATTGACCAATCGCAGTCAATTATTCTCCTCAAATTCAACTGTGATTGAACAATTTCTTAAGGTTTAAATTTCAATCCAATCTCAATCCCAATCCGTAGTCTGATAAACGGGCTTTACAGTCGAATATGAGAACAATCGACTGTGATTGATTAATTTCTTAAAGATTACGGCGTAAATCAACGGTTACCTCCTCTATAAATCAGCCTTTAGGGCTTAAAACACCTAGGGCCGCGCCGGTATCACAGTCCCCGATTAACGTAATTTTCCGATTAAACTCACTCTTCGTCTCTTTCTAGAGGGACAGTTAGAAAGAGATGCAGAGTAAGTTTAATCGGAGGATCACGTTAATCGGAGATGTGATACCGGCCCCTATTGTAGACCGAGACTAAACTTTTCCTCGGTTCAAGAACTTGAACCAAGTTCTAGCATCATGGACACAGGCCTTTATAGTTGTCTACAGTTCGTGCAAGCGCCGCTTTCGTTGAGTTTTCGCACACGAAGACACGAAGAAGACTATAGACTATAGAATAGAATACGGAATATCGCGCGAGAGCATGCTGCACGCGAGAGCGGTAAAGAATTAAGATTCGTTGTGATTAAATAATTCATTGTTATTTTGTTCTTGTCGCCGAATCGTCGCTCGGAAGATACGGATCTCCACGTTAACGAGAAAGAAGAGAAACTACTTCGATGGCGATGCGTGACTTTACACTGATAAGGTAGCTTACGCGGGACACGTGCCGCACGTGCACGAACACGCTAAGATTTGATCAATGTGAAAAGAAAAAGATACGATACGACCGTTGTGATTTCTCGTAGATCACACGAGAGACGCGGCGAATAAGGCCGGAACTCCTCGCGAAACCAAAGCCGACGGCGCCGTCTTGACTTTATCATTCCGTCGGTATTATCGACGAAGATCGCGTCAAGTGCGAGTATTCGGTGGCAATCGACAACGCCTCGTGTAAGTCTCAATATTTCTCTCGATTGCATTTATCAGTTCTGTCCTTCAGATACGCATTTTTACTGCTACAATAAACCTAATTTAATCTAACCTAACTTAACCTAATTTGAACGCGCATGTAAACACGAACCTCGGCGCGCTTCGGCGAAAATTTTAATGTAATATCGAAACGCAGCCAATAGACCTGTTCTTTTTAACTGAACTTCTTGCACGGTTTATCTTTCTTTTTCTTTTCATGTTGTAGAAAAAAGAGAAAAGATGAACTGTGCAAGAAGTTCAGCTAAAAAGACCATGAAGGAAAGGCCTATGGTGTATTTGACGCAAACTACAGATTTTCAGTACTGACAGTAAATATCGAACTGCAGTCATTATAGCAAAAATATGAAATTAGGAATTGTGTGTGCTGTTAAGGTATATCCAGACAAACTTGCATAGGTGCATAACCATATGCCAAAGAAACGGATATAACCAAAGAAACGGATTGGTTTATTTCCTTATGCACATGCATATGGACCAATCAATTCTCTTATGCTTATGTTTATGCGCTATGTAAGTTTGTCTGGATTGACCTTTAGTAAGTTTATATGCATGTCAACTTTATTACGCGAAAGCGTTTAAAGTTTGACAATTGACACTTTTACTAACGAATGTACGCACTTGTTTTTCTAGTTTAGTACACTCTAATGATGTACAATTCGATGTTCTCTAGTTTACTACAAATGCAACAAATGGAAAATTATATAATCAAATTAGAGAAAAGGCCATTTACGGTCAGGACTGCATCTTGGTTGTCTAATAATAATGTTCGCGTGAATTTATGTACAATTTTCGTAGCCCTAGTAAACCACGCACCATTTTCACCTCGTCTCAAAATACAGAATCGACCTCCTTGAAACGAAGTAAAAATATGAAAAGTGAACAGATTTACTAGATTTCGATCAATGAAATCATAGATATTCTAGTGAATTTCTTCACTTTTATAATTTTTACCTCGTTTCAAGAACCGTAATAGTCCCCAGATTCAGAATTAGCGATCCAAAAGACTACTAAATATGGAGTAGTAAAGATAACGGGGTGAAAGAAGTATTGGTTCTTTTAATTTCGGGACCCGTGACATATATGTATGTCATGCTGTGCCTTAATGGGTTAAGTATCACATAACAAAAAGATACTTTTGCTCCTTCGTTTCATTTAAATTAAAAAGTATTAAATTTCATGCAATTCAGTTAATAGGCCATTCACGAAGAATTTATATCTACTGTGCTTTTACTAAAACGTTTTGATAATATGTTTGCTAACGAGTGCGTATGTTCATTAATGACCTAGTTTACACCGACCTCTTGATACGCGTATCAAATAGTATATTTGAGCTGATCAGCCAATAATAATCAAACTAATTTACTAGTTATTTACTATTTAATACGCGTATCAAGTAATCGGTGTAAACTAGGCCAGTAATAGTAAGCACGTTCAATTTTATTCTTTAAAATCTTTTTCTAAAATCTTAAGTAACTATGTACATTTTATTCCTTTCTCTAAAATCTTAAGTAACTGAATACATTTACCAAATGTTCTTTCTTACCTCTTCGTCGCGAGACGGCACATTTGCAAGATATTCCTTCATCTCAGGCTTTTTAGGATCGGCTATCGCTAATACCGATACGCAGCCGTCCACTGTCCCCAAAACAATGCTCTTGCCATCGTGCGTGCTATCGATGGCACTCAGCTCGGCCTGCACTCTGTAATTGGCTATCATCTCACAGTCTGAAGATCTGTGAGATACCCACATATAATGTATTCTAAACACATCGAGTTAGTATATAGGCACAAATGATTTGAATCGTAATTTGAATGAAATCTCGAAGTAACTTGTGATTTTCTAGATTAATTAGTCCTTGTCAGCCTCGAATGTGTACTTGCCTGAAGACTCTGATAGTCTTTCGACCGCTGTGATAGTACAACACGTACTCGTCTGTACGATTAAACATTGATATAACGGTAAACACGCCTTCGGCTACCTTGGGTATATACGTTTTCACGCTTGTACCTTTCTTTAATTCTATGAGTTCAAGGCCACCTCTAAAAAATATATTTAGTCGCTTTGTAATACAATACGTAATTAAAAATGTGTCTGAATAACGTCTGCTCACCTGCTAGGTGCATACAAAGTATATTTGCCATCCTTGCTAATGTTTCCACTCCATTTTGGAATCGTACGTATAATCTTTTTCTTACTAATATCAAGAATTGTACCTTTATCAGAGCCAATGATACCTATCCATTGTGGTTTGTTAGGCATTGGTGTAATGCATATAATATCCTGTTAACATAAATTTCTGTAGCAACATTACTTTATTTCGACTCAAATCTCACCGAAAAATTTCTCTATTTAAATTATGTTTAAAGATTGTCCCGCCATGATAATAAATCAGCCAAGTGAGCTCGTTACCTTAAATCCAGGCAACTTTATAGGTATTTTACTGATTAGCGTTCCTGTTTTCGCGCTATAAATTACAACGCAATCCCTGTTGCCCTTGTCAGCCGCTGGTACTGCCAGAAAAGAATCGTCCGATGTTATCACAACTTGTCGGAAGGGTGTACCGGTGTTACTTCTTACAGGATAATCCAAAGAGAATATCATTCTGCCATCTAATATGAATATATGATATATAATATGTATTTATTAACTTCTCAAAGATATCCGCTCTACGAAATTGAATCGAGAATTATATTAATATTCCCTACCAGGAATATTTCTCATGATAAGAGTCGCCGTAGTTCGTACGTTTTCCACTCCTGTAGGATTATTGGGCCTCGAAATGGCTATGAACTTTGATGAGTTCTCTATCAACGTTAACTGCTTGACGTTTGTCTGCTCTTCCTTGAACAATACTTGCTCCGTAATTCTGTTCCAAATAAGAATATTGCCCGATTCTGTCGACACAATATACCTGAAATGAGAATTACTTCTGATTCTATCCGTTTTTTCCAAGCTTGGTTCTTGTTTTAACCCCACTATATATCTTGAGCCTTGATATAAAAAAATTAATCTTCAGTAAGATTAAGTCGGGCGAAATTAACTCACTTGCTGTCCTGCGTGATGCAGGCGTGTGTAACAATTGCTCCTAGCGGACTGTCGGCTAGCTTTGATATTAGTCTACCCGTTAGCAAGTCCCAAACACCCACGCAATCTCTGGTAACTGTAACGGCCAAGTTACCCTCTTCGGCTAAACTGTTTCATAATAATACAGAATGAGTCACGTAAATCAAACTTTTTATTTTTTACAAGATTACCTTAACATGTCTATCTGCAGCTCGTGCCTGTCGATAACGTGAACTTGCTCGAAAATATTGTTGATGTTCCACACTTTGACGCTTCTATCAATACTCGATGTTACAACGCTATTCCAATTTGCAACTGTCAATGCTTCCAGTTGAATGATCCTTGCGAAGTGCGCGTCCAGTATTTTTACCAAATCTGACGTCTCGAGCGACCAAACGTACAAATTTTTCCTAAAAAAGGACGATTTAAGCTCGTATATCCGTTTTTTTCCCATAATTTATAGTGTTTGATAATACGTGGTATTTATTCAATAAGGACAATATTCTCTGTTAGAAACTGAAAAAACTTTTTTCTCAATTTTAATGCAATCCTCAACTCTTATTTTTAGAATTTTAACTTGGAATTTCTCTAAAGCCTCAAATCAAGCTTTTATTACATTACAGTTAAGAGAACCAGTTTTCATCGTTTCTCGCATTCTTATAAAACACTTTATCTGCGTATCCTCTTTTTTTTTACTCATAACTCAAAAACTGTTTGTATCTCGATATTTTTGTTGCGGTAAATTATTTAAAAAACTAGATTTGATGTTGAACATCGACAGCGCCTAAATACCTATATTATTACAAACTCACAATGTTTCCCTATTTTATTTTTTCTTGCCATCTGCAAGAATTTAAGTTTAAAAGAACGGCGATAATTTTTAGATGCGCACCTTACACCAGCAACAGCGTAATTCTTGGTGCCGCTGACCATGACAGAATTCGAATACATCATTCGCGTACTGATGTTCCTAACTCCGTTCGGTAACATTAAAACATGCGCGTCGCTTTTACTTTCCAAAAACCACACGATGAATCCATTCCCGGTCGTCGCTAACAGCATTTCCTCCTCTCTGTCCAACTTCAGCTGTAACAGATACTCCACATCGTCGTTGTACGCCCGCGGCATATCGAAAAGTTTTTCCCAGTAAGATGAGGTCTCATCGCTCCTATATTTCGTGATTCTATAATCATCCTTGCTTGTACATGCGTACAAAGTACTCTTGTCCTTGGTCATGACCAAAGCACTGAAAAAGTTTATCATAACAGTTTTCTATTATTGTAATCTTTCAGCATAATTTCTTGATATTAGTTCCGTCTTACCTGTGAAACTGGAACGGATCCAACGATGTCTTCTTCCTGTATGTATGCAAAAGCATACGCGTGTCGTCGAGACTTCCCGACCAGAATACAATTCTGTAGAGATCCAAATTCGTATACTCCACGTCTATAAGGGAACGCAAGAATAACAACCACGGTGTAGGAAATATACAGGGTATAGATGAACTGTTTCTTACACAAAATCGGCCATTTGTTGGAATCTTCGGGATTGCTGTGAGTGTCGAGCAGGTTTCCTCGCAAGTCGAATCTGCACCAGCCTAGCTTCCCGTAGATAAAAGCGTATTGGTTCATCAGATGCACACCGCACACCGTGTCCTCGTTCGGTAAAGGATTATTGATAACGACGAATTCGCTCGTCAGGGTGTTCAAAACGACACTCTATGGAAAATCATACGTCGTGAAATATCTTTCAATTAATTCGAAGCTGATCTTTCCTAATCCAAAACATCGGAACGTTGAGAATCTCTGAGTTACAAAAGACTTCTCAAAGATCTTCATGAATCAAGTTTCGGACATAATAACATAATAAAGAACAAAATTCATTTAATTTTAAATCG